ACGGGCATCAGGCCAAGAGAGCGTAATATCCCAAACAGTTGAGTACATATGTCGATGTTTATATATATCTTAAATATATGTCATAAATGTGTGCAGCTGACCACAAAAGTGCAATCACATTTTAATTACACTGGTGCACAATTTAACACGTTCGACTTGAATTTAAAATTCAAATTCAATCTTTTTTCGTATACAAAAGAAACGACGAAAACTGCGACGATGGGTTTGCGACTGTGCGGCTTGAATGTGTTGCGAAAACTAAAACAGAAACAGCCCACAAAACACACCCAACGGACGAAGCCTCTGTTGTGGCTGACGCCTCGCCGACGTCACCGTCAAGCTGTCGGACGGCAGCGGCAGCAGCAGCAGCAGCAGCAACAACAATATACGTGGCTCAACAACAGCGGCAGCGTAAACGTCGCGATGCTCTGCTGATAACTTGTCTAGCAGCAGCAGCAGCCAGCCACAGCAGACATGCAATGTGGGACCATTTGTGGGACACTAGTGTAGCCGCCAAGCCTAAGCCGCGTGCGTTTCTTTTGCATATACTGTGCAGCGAGGCGGCGCAGCACTAGCAGAGCTTTTGTTGCTTTTGCTGTTTTGCTCTACAGCCACACACACACACACAAACAAATAAAACCATAACATATGTGCGCTCTGCATTTCAAGTACAGTTTATTTAAAGCTTGCAACGCATTGAGAAAGATAAAGAGACAATAATATGCAATGCAGCTGAAGATCTCGACTAAAGACTTACTACGGAATGCGTTAGCTACTTATCTATCCTAAAAAAAAATATATACGAACTTTTTTGTTTAACCGGATATTGGAAAAAAAAATTTTAGCTGTATAAGCAGCGACTTTCAATGAGAGACTATTCCAGAAAAATGGGCACCACTTTTTTGTTGTTTTTATGTAGTTAGATTCATATAAACACGATAGGTATATTAATGTTTACGTTGTTTACTTTAATATTTATTGTAAATACCCTATAAAATGTAAACGGTTTATGAGGAAGATCGCTTGATCATATACACCATGGGTTAAGCTTTTTGAAGAGCGTGGTGCCGTGGTGCCACACCTTTTCCACATCTTGCGACCAACTTAAAAGTCGTCAACATTGGGCTGAGAGGGATTTTCATACGTGCTGATCCATTGATGTAATGAGTACACAAAATATTGTGGATACTGCAAAATGCAAAGTGGATATTTAAAATAAAGATGACTGGGAATCGCACATTCCACAATTGTTCAGATACGTTGACGTCTCGTTTGGATGGCGTAAAAATTCATTGAAACTAATTGATCGTACGCCTTCTAGGGGTATATATACATATCTGCATACATACTTTCCATCTGTATAAAAACACTTGACAATTAACTGCAAACGTGTGGGCGTGGCATGACCCGACTGATCGGCTAATTGGGCAAAGCAAAGAAGGGGCTCACAAATGTGCTAAAAAACCGGATGCGGGCCAACAAAATAGTCCCGGATGATGTTAAAAAACGAACAATAACCGGCTAAACGGCAAGCGCTTTACAATTGAATAAAACGTAATTCGCTTAAAAAACGTAATCAATTGTTTACTTTATATATAATGAAGTTCCAAATGGATCGGGCCGAATAAAATATAGTTGCCGACTACGTGTAGCACATGTATCCGTACACCATCAAGATCAGCTGCCGCATTTAATGGAGAATCTGGCTCAAATGCTTTTGTTCGTCTGGCTCATCTTCGAGCCGTTCTTTATATGCAAATTTGCTGTTGTTTAATGAGTGAGCCATTTGGTTATGTTTGCTCAGATATGGAGCCAAAACAACTACAGCAACAATAACAGTATCAACAACTATAAAAACGGAACCGGTTGATGATGCTGCGCGGTGAGAGCATAAAAACTTGTCCACTTACTGCCCAATAGAAATATGCAGCTATATTTATATTATTTATCTTGAATACAAATATGTATTAATTATATTATTTTTTTGGTCAACCCCTTTAAAATGGCCTGCAGTATAATTCATTTTTAAAGTGTGCCTAATAAACGGGTTTCGCTATTGCTTAGTTTATGAGACGACTTGTTTACCTGTTTTTTCTGCATCGATTATAATTTACATACATTTATATATGTATACAAGCTTGAATCAAAGAATATGGTTTAAATAAAAATTATATTGTCTTTTCTAGAAACGATATTTTTACGCAGCAAAACGCGGATTTCCCGCAATCTTGCGTGGCATTTTTTTTGAAATTTGTGAAAAACTTCCACATCAACTTTTACCACAGCTCTTTGTGAAAAAGTTTGAAGTCGATTATATGCTAAACAAAAGTTTAATACAATCGTTTTCCATCCAGTTTCCACATTTGCGGGTGGAATCCGAAATTCCGTCTTAGCAGGCATTTTCATTGATTAAGTTGCCTCACAGTTAAAAATTCAGCTTTTAGCTCTGAAAGTTCTTCCCGTGCGCTGATCATCAATCAGCCAGTCGGTTAGTTGGTCATCAGTCAGTCAATCAATCAAGCAGTTAGAACCAATAGATTTATATATACATAAATATACAAGTACGGAGGCATATATGTGCGTGTGTATATTTGTGTGTATATGTGGACGTGCGTGTGTTAGTGTATGCATGTATATATGAATGCATTTATGTGTATATGTATGCATGCATGTTTGTTTTCTAATGCTAGGCACAGACCAAGGTTATTTGTTGCTGTGCAGCAAATTTAAATAAAATTTCTGCCAAGTGCTCTCCTCCTTGATTCTCAAGAATTCAAGTGGGCTCTGCAGTTTTTCATGCCTAGAAAGTGTTGTTTTTTATGTTTTTTTTTTTTTGTTTCTTTTTTTTTTGTTTCTTTTCGTTTTTTTTTGTTTTGTATGTATATATGTTTGCATATACTGATGTATGTGTGAATGTATGTATGCATGTACGCATTCACGTATGTATGTGCATATGCATGTAAATATGTATGTATGTTTGCGTGTATGCATGTATGGATGTATGCATGTATGTATGTATGCATGTATGTATGTGTGCATGTACATATGTAGCTATCCAGACATGTATCGTGTCAAATGATTTTTATATAGATCCTTGGAAATAAATTTGAACACGAAATATCACCCACCAATTTGATGACCCCCATTTCCACCAAGGAGGAATGCATATTTCAAGAAGTGTGAATCATCCCTCAAATAAATTTGACCAAAGATCTTTGAAAATGAGTTTGAGGCCAATAGGATGGTACACAAATCAGATTGATACAAAAGTTTTTCGCGATTTTTCCACACGTGCGGGTGGAATTTCCGGAAACCCCGTCTCAACGTGTGTTTTCATCACATAAGGTAGTTTTATATCTAGAGATATCTTACCACTAATCAGCACATATTTTCTTGGGCATCTATAACTAGTATGTGTGTTTTTTATTTACGGATACATTTTGAATGTGGCTACAATTGTAATACTGGTGTAGGCAGTTTATCTCACATAAACTTATAGTATTTATTTATGTATATGTATACACATGACCTATATGCTGGCTTTATTTTTTAAAGCAGTCAACGATAAGCGCAAAAAAAAAAACAATTACGTAATTTGGCGGCAGCTCGAGTGAATGCTCTGAACAGGGGAAAAAATTCCAAAATCCAATTAAAAGTAAAAAGCGCAAGAGCGGCAACTGCGTATAATCAGATAGAAAGCTAAAAATCTTTATAATATTTGATTCGATAACCTCTTGAACTGGCTTGCTTGCATTATATGGGGTTATCTTCACAACCGACCCTGCATATATACTGTAATATTCGCTAATAAGGAAACAATTTGCTTTGATTCCGCTTTATTTACAACTGATGTGGGAAACACTCGGCGTACAGATAACAGATGGAAGGAGAAGCACCTTAGACTTAAGCGCATTATTCAATAACAGACTATTGAAACTTCCTTAAGAAAGCCAACTTGATAAGAAAATTGCAACTCGCCCAACAATAATTACTCATACGACGTGTGAATCGTGCACACATCTCGAATGTACTTAATTTGTGGGCACGCTTATTGGCTGAGAAAAACGTGTCCAATGAATATTGCGAAACGGCCAAACAAATAGAGTTAAAATGCGCTAATTATTGGATGAATCAAGTCAGGTATGCAGACAAGTAGAAGCTCAGCTAGACGATAAAGCCTTCGTAAAGCATCGATCCAAGTCGCAGACGGTGAACATTAATTATGCAAGTGTTAATTGGCATATTAATTGGATGTGTTTCAGCATACAGCCAGAACATGGTTAGCTGGGAGCAAGGCAAGGCAAAGCAATACAATTGTTTTATAAAGCCCACATATCTGTTTGGTTTGGTATTGTTATAGGTTGTTATAAGAGAGCTTGACAAAAACCATGCCACAAATTGAAACCCAAAAAGTGTGCACCGCAGACTTATGTAATTGATAATGTGACTTGAGATAAAATTAAATAAATGCCCAAGCTCAATTTCGCAGTCGCAGCTGAAATATAGTTTTGAATCACAAGAATCTCGATGAAACTACATATGTAGGTTGCCAAATATGATAATATATGTTGTAAGAAATAATTATTTAATGTTTTCTATGGAATGAGCCAATGCCAAGTAACTAATAAAAAACATAATTGACGAATTTGTGCTCAATGTGCCACACACGCACACAAACAGATGTGCTTGAACATGTGCGAAGAAAATATTACATTACCAGAAAAAAATAGTATATAAAAAAAATAAATAAAACCATAAAACATTACGCATAACTACGAATAACGAAAGAACGAGCGAGCCAAAAGGGAAAACCAAGTGTGGCAAAAAAATAAACAATTGTTCTTGGAAAGGAATATACGTAAAAAAAAAAACAAAAAAAATACTCATAATTTTCACAAGTTTCAAAGGTGGGTGGGTGGATTTTTCATTTAGTTGTGTGCTTAAACAACACAGTTTAGTTAAGGTGGAAGAATTCGTATTAAAAGGTTTTTATTCCTAACCTCGCCGCCCAACAATTCCAAATCATGCGATGCGGCATGCGAAGCCGTTTTTATGATCTTGTAGGTCTTGGCGAAGGGCGCCTTTAGAAGCTGTCGTATAGAGATTTATCACATAAAGGTTTCAGTTTTGGATTTGGTTTTTTTTTTTTTTTTTTTTTTTTTTTTTTGTTTTTAAGCCCATGGTTTGGCAGATTTGGTGTTGTTTTTAAAAATAAATGCAAATTGAAACACAATATAGACACGATAAGAAACAGGACAGATGGAAACGCGTGGACAATATAAATGTAAGAAAAAGTATACAAGAGATATATTAAAATACTTTCAACAATTTCGAGGCATAACCTAAAAGATTTTTGTTTGTTTTGTTTTTTTTTTTTTCGTTTTGGATTCAAAATTTTGAGAGAGAAACTTTTTTTTTTAATTATATATGCTTAGTAGAAAAATTTGAGAGAAAAACTCAGAGCAATAGGTTAAAAATTATATATATATATATGTATATGAAAGGACCCACAATGCGATTTCTGCGGCATTTTATAAGAAAGACAAAAATTTACAAAAATTGAGCTCACCTCCCAGGACTCCCGGGTGAGATCGCCAATTTCCTCGCCATCCTGGCTGTCGCTGTAGCCGCTTGCTTTGATGGCGCCACTCTTTGTCCATTCGGTATCCTCCTGGATTAGCTCAAAGCCGCGCGCCTTTATTTGCTCTTCGTCCAATTCACCGTACAGGTGTTTCACCCAGGTGTTTATGAAACGATAGAGCTCGTCAACGCTATAGAGAATAGGCATACAGTTAGCTATACAGAATAGATTCTCAGATTTCTCAGGTTGGTAACTCACCGATTTTTGGGCACACTGAACCAATATTCGGCGCGCAGCTTGTTTTTGCCATAGGACATGACTGTGGTGCCCTGTGGTATTGCCTTGCCAATGGGCTTGCCCATGCGCAGGCGGAAATACAAAGGTGGGTCAGAGCAGGCGCGTGCGGGACGCGGTATAAGCTCTGTAAGGAAGACAGCGATTATTAAATGGGATTAAACATAATATTTAATCAACTTCTTACTGTCCACGCTGATAAACAGTTCCGGCTTGTCATCCATCGAGACCATGGAGCGGTAGTCAAGCTTGGGCGGCGGCTGTTTGGCCTCCTTCAGCTTCGTGCTAGACGCAGTGCCCTCCGAAGAGTGTGGGCGTATAAAAGTGCCAATAGAGGAGCGCCTGTGGAGACAATGGAACAAGATATTAGCAGTGCAAATTGTTAATAGTCCGCATCCGATAATCAAGACTAGTGCGAGTATTGAGTATGATTCTAGTCATTGGCTATGATGCTTTGAGAATTTAAATTAGCTGGTGAACAAAAGTGGGAACTGAACTATAAAAGATGTATTCGTTGAATGAGTTACACAACAACACTACAACATCAACAACACAGTGCACAGGATCCAATCCGTCCTTACCCATAGGTCATGTGACCCTCGGAATGTGTCGAGTGTGGAGTCAATGGCGGCACTGGCGACCCACCAGATTCTTCGGACGGTGTTTTCGAAAACAAGTTGCCGCCCAGCTCTGATACCAGAGTGATGGGCGAGCTAAGTAATTCATATATATATATATGTATATCATATAATGTGTACAATTGTTGTGTACGTGTACGTGTGCATGTGCGTGTGAGAGTGTGTGTGTGTGTGTGAAAAGCATAAGTTAAAATTTGCAAAAGCAGCCGATCCGCATTAACCGAAGGTAAGCATTTTGTTTTCCAATGAAATAAACAAATTTGGGGCACCAATTATATAGGAGTTAATATGTTGTTAGCTTTTAACTGAGATTTCATTAGCGCACCTTGAGAATACTTTCGAAAATACACTCTGGTTGGAGTCACCCGTGTTGGGCGCCGAATCTGTGTCCGCCGACTTATTCAGGCCGCTGCCCGGTGCAGGCGGTGCGCCGCCCTCGCCAGTTAGGCCCTCCACCCAAGTCAATGGATACGACAGACGTTTAAGCATCTAGAAAGCGTACACAATATTAAATTAATTGTGACATATGTTTCTGCAGCTTGTTTACTTGTGTTTTTAGCTCACCTTATTTTTTTTGTCAGCCTGCTTGTCGCCGCTCGCGGCAGCTGCCGATGCGGCTGCCTGTGCCTGCTGTGCTGCCTCGTCGTCAACGGTGAAACTGACGCTGGAGGTCTTCTTGCGAGCACCGCCAGCGTCGAGGCTCTGGCCAAGAATGGTGCTACGTGGCGGTGACTCGCTGAAATGCGTGGGTACAATGGTCTTCGGCGGCACCCAGTCTGAGCTGAGCACGATGTCAGCGTCGCTGTATACGGTTTTCTTTGGTATCGGCTGTATTGTGGGTATGGGCTCGCGAATGTCGATGCCTGAGTCGTAACAGGACTGCTTCGACAGCTCCTCCAGATGCTCCAAATCAATGCCAGATGGCGGCAGCATGCCCGGCACCAGACCACCAACAGCACCTGATGCAGCAGCAGCCGCAGCCGCAGCAGCAGCTGCAGCGGAACCTCCTACGGCTCCTTTGGCATCGCCGCTAACCGAGCTCGCTGTCGACTGTGGGTCCTGGACCCGTGCGCCGCTGTCTATGGTAATGTTGGACTCGTTGTCGGCCTCGTCTTCCGATGATCTTCGGGAATTAGACAAACAATAGCTGAGTATTTGGAGTGTGCAGTGTGTGGTAATTTACAGTAACAGATGCAGGTTCACGTGTGTGCGATTGTGGGTGTGAGAGGTGTGTGTTTGTAAGGCACAAATGGCAAGTATGGTTATGTATTTATTGAGGGAACGTTGCGGTTTAAAATATGAAAATAAAAGCACAAAAAAATGTAGAATAACAAATTATTAACAGCAATACAATTTGTTTCGTTTGGTTTTAAGACTCGGTTGTGTTGTGAGTTAGCAAAAATAAACCATTAAAATAAATAATTATTTTTAAGCACACACAACTGGCTAAATACGAACCGATCTTTGCTGGGTATGGCCCAGTGGTGATCCAATAGACTCTTGCGTCGCTCCTCCAGCGTGCTGCGTGTGTTGGTCGGGCCTAGCGTTTTCTTATCCTCGTCCTCGTCCTGAGCGTCAGTCTTAGCGCTATCTTTGGCATCCGTTGATGTATCCTAGTGGACGCGCGGTAACAGAATCAGTAATTGTATAACCAAAATTATAGCTTTGATTTGCTTACCGCAACACGATCGCGCTCAAAGGCCTTCGGGAAGGCATCGCCATCGCGACCAGTGCTGGAACATAGTGACTCCTGATCATCGGTGACCTCCAGTGAACCAATTTCGGCTAAAATTATAAACAAAAAATACAGGATCAGTTATCATGCAGTCTCTTATGGTATTTAATCTTACCCTCCAAGCGTTGCTTGTTGGCTTCCAGGTCCTCCTGCTGTTCGGGCAACTCCTTGGAATCTTCCTCAACTAATACTGGTTTGGGATAATAGATTTCGGGCTTCTCTGCATCACTGCCGGCACTAGCAGACGCTGCAGCCACACTCGGCCCGGCACCGCCAGCCACACGCATGTGCGCTATGTCATGGAATATGGCTGCATTAACAACTAGATCCATGGGTGCTATGACCCCGTAGCTTTCTGGGCCATGCTCAATGACCAGCGGATCACTGACATTTGGATCAAACATAACAGCGTTGCGTGTGACCAAGAGAACGCCACCGACAACGCCCTGGCCATCGGTAATGTGGCGTACATTAATCTTGAGAAAGCGCTGGGTAATCACGGGATCATCGCTTCTGTCCGCATTCTCCTCGGCCTGGCTGTTGCCAACGCTGCTGTTGCCCACAACGCGCTCAATGTGTCCCGGCTTGGGCGAGCCTGGGCGCAGGCCTTCAAGAATATCTGCAATACAAGGATTTGACGTGAATATAGATATTTGTGGGGCTGTTGCAAAACGCGCAATTGTCTGCTGAGGGGCAAGCGCTGTGATTTTTATCTGCCTGATAAGATAGTGTGTGTGTAGCCCAACCAGGCCAAATTGATTTATGTGATATTTAGTTTAAATGTAAATCTCTACAAATGCGGGACATGTGACATTAATAGCTTGGCGAAATGCGCTGCAAATTTGCAGTGAGGCCCGCACTTAATTAGCACATTGATGTATCAAAAAGCCAAATGTGATTCCGGCAATAACCTCCGTTTCGCCAAAATACAGCCGTATGCATGCTGAGGCTGATGACGTCTGGTTTACGCGTCGGTGCACTTTACAACACTTGCAATCCAAAATGGTCAACGTGCGTGGCCCAAATGTTGAGAACGAACTTCTTTCGTTTTATCTATTCCCGTCGTTTGGGCCACACAAAACAAATACAATGGCTCAACTGTCACGAACACATAGCAGAGTTAGGGCTGGACAGCTTTAGCAGCTGTTGGGCCAGGGCTACACATAACGATAAACGTATGTGCAAGGTGTTGTTAAGCACTGTTGCGCGCACAGTGTTGCCAACTATCTCACGGCGCCGTTTAATTTTTGAATAGCGAATGTATGCATGCAAAATGCAGTCAAGCAAAAATGTTAAATTAAATATATGACATAAGCAAAACTAGATTAACTCCAAAATTAGCTTCAATATCATCGCACCAATTGCACCATTTCCAGCAACGTCGCTTACCTTTCTCCTGCTTGCTCTCATCGCCAGACAACTTGCGCTCAATTGGACTGGATTTGCCGGAGAGACTGCCGCCGCCCCCGCCCCCGCCCCCGCCATCAATCGTGCCAGAGGAACTGGTGGAGGCATCGTCTTTGGCACTCTTATCGGGCACCAGCAACTGCTGGCCCGGATATATAAACGAGCTGTTCAGCCGATTCAAATGTGTTAGCTCCGATGGCGTGGTATCAAAACGTGCCGCCACCGATGTCAGTGTGTCGCGATTTCCCACAGTATAGGAAATGGTGGGTATGGTGGGCAATGAAGACTTTTGCCCTGTGAAAAAGAAAACGGCTTCAGTTAATTAACCGGACACCTCAAAATACAAACTAAAATAATCACAATAAATTATATATATAATGTACTAAATTAATTATGTAATATATTCGAGTAATTTTTACTTTGCGGCTTCTTCGGTAGCTGATCAAAAATCACGTACTCCTTATCAACAGGCCTCAGGCGCGAATAGATAACATCTGTTTCTATTGCATCCTGCGCCACCTGTGCGAACTGGCGGCACAAATAGATGACAACGAATTCACTGGCGGACAAAGGCGGTTGTCTGTTATTAACATTGGAACGCCAATAGATTTCAACAAATTCCAACATCCTGTACAAGATCTGGTATCTCATAAGTTATGTACTCTACGCCTGTTGTACGTATGTATTTGCTTTATTGCGAATAACTTAAGAGGAATAACGCTTTTTAAACTCTGTTTTATTGCGCGTCCTTCGCTTCTCTCTCTCTCTTTTGCTTCTCATTCGTCCGAGCAGCAAAAAAATATTATACCAGCAGCAACATCTTCTTTGACAGCAGACGCTGCAAAACTTTGGCTGAGTCGGCAGTTTTCCGTTTCGAAAAGCAAATACGAAATGTAACGCCAAGGCTGGCGGCGCGAAATCAACAATGTGCTTAGTTTTATGTTGTGTGTATTTTTCATTATGTATGTATACATTTGATAATGCCTTTTTATAGGGATTTTGTTATCAATGTGCCGCAACTTTAACATAGCCCATGCGTCAATAACTGTTTCCGTATACCGTTAAGTCGTGGCTGAGTCAACAGGTCGAGAATGATTGATTTTTAGTGTTTTCTTAAAAAACTTTCTTGTTATCAAAATGGAAAGTCGACAAATTTATTTCACTTAATCATTTTTGAATTTAAATTATTTGCACTAAGCTGCATCAGGAACAAAATTCGAAGTTGTTTTCTTGTTTACTGGCGGCCAAAAAAAGAACGAACAATTACAAGATTATACGGTACAGCAAAAACCGTTATCCCCCTTAATAAAACTAACAGATCAGATATTTGGTTCGCTGTTAGGACAGCTGATAGCTCCTGTTAAAACCATTTATCAGCTGTTAAATTTTTAATATTTAGCTTTTTTAAAGTGCTGATAACAGTGGTGTGCACTGTTAAAAGACGTGAAACATTTAGCAAATCGCAGCTAACTTCGTGTGAGTTCAGTTTGCGCGCAAAACCATAGATGGCGGTAGTGTGCGGTAATTGCGCGCGCCTTTTAAAAATGAAATTGTTAACAACATGAAATACTCACTTGACAGTTTGTCGACGCTCTCAAATCGCTGCTCGACTTTCGAACGCAACGAATCCAAATCGAATGGTGCCGCAAGGCCATGATCCACACTGCGCGATTTGCTCCTGTAATATAAACAAATAAAGAAGAGAACACGTGACGAAGCACAAATCGATTGTTAAATTAATTGGCAATATAAAGCGATAGCAACTTGTTGCTGCGATCTTTATCACTTACAAATTTTCCAGCTTAAATTGTGGCCATAACCAGCTAATAACAATTTATTTATGTGTTTATTTTGTTGTTTTTATTTATATGTAATACTATTTTTTATCTGGCAATCAACATTTGTGAACTGACCAAAAATGGACAACAACGAATTTTAAATCGTTTACTGTTTTTTTTTTTTTTTTTTGAGTTTGTAATTGTTTTACTCGACGTAACCTTTAAATGCGTTCGTCGCCTGTCACGAGTCTGTGCTCAGAGTTTGCTATGGAATTTCATAAAAATCCAAATTTAAATGGAAAGCATTGATTCCATAGCATAGCAGGCCAGCGAATATCAGTCTGCTGTTTAAAATAAGTTCATCTGCTGAAGCTGGCATATTCCTGAGCTATTTCCTATTGAAAATATTATGGAGGAATATACACGCGAGCCGTGCCCCTTTCGCATAGTCGAGGACTGTGGCGGCGCCTTCACCATGGGCGCTGTGGGCGGCGCCATATTTCAGGCGATCAAAGGTTTTCGCAATGCCCCCTGCGGGCTGCCGCGTCGCCTAGCGGGCGGCCTGGCCGCGATGCGTGCTCGTTCCGGACTGGTTGGTGGCAGCTTTGCCATTTGGGGCGGCACCTTCAGCGCCATCGATTGCAGCCTGGTTTATAGTCGCGGCAAAGAGGATCCATGGAATTCAATTATCAGCGGCGCCGCAACTGGCGGCATACTAGCTGCACGTGGTGGCAAGTGCTCGAATACGACAGTCCATTTGTGATAAGCATTATGTTAACATTTCAGGTGTCACCGCCATGCTGAGCAGCGCCTTGGTGGGCGGGGTGCTGCTGGCTCTCATCGAGGGCGCCGGCATTGCCATGTCGCACTATACGGCCGATAACTATCGCCAGGTATCTGTGCTGGAGCGCATGCAGCATTACAATGAGCGTCAACTGCGTCAGCAGCAGCAGCAGCAGCAGACTACGACGATTCCCAGCTTCTACACGGATCCAAATGAGGCGAGTCTCCGTCTCGTTTAATCTTCTCATTGAATGCATTCGATTTTTGTCTTATTTTTGCAGGGCAACTCGATGCCGGCTTAGATACCTGCTGCGTCATCGATAGACAACGACCATCGAATACAAATGTTGAAATTGTGTTTTTGTTTTTTTTTTTTTCTGATCGGCGGGGCATGCGGCAAGTGCCTCGAAATTGAATAGAAACACAATTGCTGGCACATTCAGTTTCATTAAAATTCATTTGCCGTGCACTTAAAGCTTTTTTTGTGTACGTTTCATTCTTTTTTGTAGTAGAATGCTCCTAACATTTGGATGTTGTCGCGGAATTTTTGATGACGACATGGATATTAAAGCCGCGTGTGCTTCCTAGCGCCAAGTTTGTAAGCGGCCTTTTAAAGTCTGCTGCGTCTGTCTGGACTACCGCCTCGATGTATGATAATGCTTGGGTAGTTTCCTATACTCAAAAAGTATATATATATATATATATCATGATTCCTTTCGATAACAGTCGGACAACTAACATTGACAGTCTGTCTCTGTCGTGTGTGGCTCAGTTTTTAAAATTCTTTGTAACATCTTGATTGACAAAATTTAATTTCCGCCTGAACACACTGTCATCCGTTCGAAGAAAAAAAAAATCATCATTGAGGTCTTTATGTAAGAGATTGAATAACTGATTGACAGCTTGTTAAATGCAGGAAAATTGCCAATCTATATATGTGCTTATTAAAGACAGCTGCACTTTAAGTTCAGTTTGGCAGTATGGCATATATTTTGCCTGCAGTTCTGTTTTGTCTTGAAGTTTTTGATAAATTGTTTAAAAAGAGAACGCAAATAAAATTAATTTGCGCGTGTCTGCAAATGCGTTGGCAATTAGCGAATCCAACTGCGATAAACGTAATTGAATATCAATGATAAATGAAAAAAGAAAAAATATTTATTCAATTCTAGCATTTATGTGCGTTAAGGCAGCTGACAGAGCCTTTTGTCTGCAGATAAACAGAAAAACTAATTATTTAGCGCATATTTGTCGCGCTTTGTATTTATTCTCTGTGTATTATTTATCGCAATTTCCATGCCGATTGACTTAATACTGGAATTTTGCTTCCATTTTAATTAATTGCGCAGCTGAAATATGCCACAAATCAAATAAAATTCGCCGATGTGGGCCCAAACAATTCCCCCAAGTTGCCTTGAATCCATAGTCAAAAATATATATATATATATCTATAAAGTGGATGGGGACAACTGTGTTTGATTTGTAAGTTGCGACATTTGACGACAGGCAGATACAGATACATTATTGGTTTAATTTATTAAGCTCACAACAGGCAGGGAATTTCGTCGTTTACACAGTTGTTTTATTTCCAGCTAAAACGCGATCACATGAGAAAAATAACATTTTTTGTAGTTTTATTTATTATTATTTTAATTTGTTGCGCGCGCGAGTTCAGTAAATATTAATATTTTGGCACACTATTATGTGACTACAACAAGCTAATCCAGCCAAAGATCCTGTTTACCTTTTCCATTATTTTCCTAGTAGTTAAAAAAGGCCCATAAAAAGTAGCAACTGGTGGCAACATCTGAATACATTTGTAGGTACTTCAGGTACACACACATTAACTTGTATTTTGTAGCCGTGTTCGTGGCTATATCTTATCAGTATTTGCTTTCGATATTTTGGCCCTGGATAACAAAACGACAGCAGCAGAGTGTTAAGCTTTTTGGCTTTGCCAATGACAAGTGCCAGCACGGAAAACGAAAGGCTGGATGCAGTTGTTGCCACGAGTCACCCACCGATTCACCCTCTAGACTCAGCTGACATGTGACAGCAGTTTTCTTGTTGTGGGTCTGGTTTTTTTTTTTTTAGCTATTTATAAATTACAAACATCCATATACTATATCTACATACAATCATAAGTATAACTAGTTGGACTGCAGCATTAATGAATCCGAAATATTGATAAATTTGTTTTACCACACAGCTTGCACTTTTGATATTTATTGGAAAAAGAACAAGAGCTCTTGATTTTATGAAATTGAGACTGAGAGTTCTAAGGAGTATAACGTATGTTTCTTGTTAATATGGGCTCTCATTTAAGTCATCAAATCTGCCAATTGTTTCTAAATTTGCCTTAATTCTAGGCAATAAATACTCGGACTAAAATAGCAAATGTCAAAACGATTGATGATGTCATCTCTCGTGTTAGACACAACTGGCCCGGCTAAGTCGTATGCTCTTAGCACTTAGTTTTAATTATTTCTGTATCTTCAAATAAACGAAATATGATATCACAGAAATCTTAGTCTATGTTGATAAAATTTGTTAAAGAAAATGTAATGTATAATTGTATGCAAAACACGCAAAGCAAAAAAGGCGACAGCTCTGATTGATATGACGCACTTGCTGATAATCGGCTGGGTACTTGTGATATTTGCTCTTTAATCTAATCTCTGGTAATCTGCACAGCTCGAATATGTTGTCCCTCTGCCTTACTTCAAAATGTTTGCAATTGCTGTTGAAATATTATATATATTATACTTTCAATCATAATATCAGCCGTTCATTTAGTGCTTATTGTTGTTAACAGTTTTGTGGCTCTTATAAATTATCAATTTCGTTATAAGACAAGGTCTATTAAGATTATCTGGCAATCTATAAATAATAATAAACTGAACTGTGCATTTATTTATATAACTCGATTGCGCTCTTTATAAATTAACTTGAACTTTTGTTTAAGTTTTGATTTAATATCATATTGCTTTTGATTATTTTAGAGCCTAGTTATGGTCACAATTGGGCTGAAAAAAATGTTATGTATATAGTAGGGAAAGATATATGTATATATATGTATATGGTAAATCGTTAGGCAAATTCATGCTTTCACTAGTTATATACACCATGCAGATATATATACACACACACGGATATATATAAGGTGACCATGCGACATGCAAATGGCATTACACAATGATATAGGGCTAGCATATATATTACTGTTATGTTAAATTATTATTGTTTATTGTGTGTTGTAATTTACAGGATTTGTTAGCTTATTAGTTGGACTTACCTGCGCACGGGAATCGCCAAGTTGTCAACGCTACGCGACAAACTGGAAACATCTTGACTAGCCCTACGTGACCTGGCACGTTATTAATTTTTTAAAGAGCAAACGAAATTGTGCCAAAAAATAAACGAGAAAATCATAAAAAAAATCAATACAAAAAAAATATAAATCAAAAAATTTTCAAGTAAATTCACAATTATATCTATTGTGTTTGTGACTGGAAGCTCGATTTAAATTTATTTAGTTTAACAAACGTCAAGTCCAAAATGCGCCCATAACTTACGTCCCGCTCGAAGCTACCCCGAATCGGGCCAGATCATCGTAGAATATATTAGCAAAATGCTTAGATGTTTGGGTCTATCGATGGAGCACGTGGCGATAATGAAAGCACGCGCATTACTTCAGGTTTTTAACTATACAATTGTCACGTTCCTAAGTGCTGTCTATAATATATATGGCATAACGATATATATTGTTGTGTACTACAATGGAGCCTTTCAAATATTTTAGATTAGTTTCTTTCGCTCTGAGGCAGTAATTTTTAGTTTCATCGAGATATTCTACGAAATTTCAACTGGCCAAGGCCACGCAGTTAGCATGTTTAATTGCACAATTATTCCATTAGAACATGGCTAATTATAGCACGATCGCCTTGTCCAGAGATCCGCCTACAACAAGTTGGTCAAGCACCTCAGCCCCTCATAAAGCCGCCCTATCTTTATAACGCCGAGAATAATCAAATAGAAGTTTTGAGATAAATCAAATATTGGGCAAATAATCGAATGTTTGTGGAATCGTAACATTTTGGCCATTTATGAAGAACAAGCTGCCAGACAGCTCAATAAAATGTATACCCGAAACTTGAACGAATTGTTTGTTTATATGCGGAGTCATAAATTTAAAATTACAATTGATTAACACTTTTTACAATCAATTAGCGAGAGCACTTTTCTCAGTTTCCAAAAATATCCAACACACTCAACTGGAGTCTTATGGTTTTTTTTTTTTTTTTATTAAATGGATATAATTGATATTTAACACTCACAATCAATCGAAAAAAAAAAGAACCAACAAAAGTTTGTTTTGTTCAGCAATGAATAAAAGAAGGGAGCTATAGGGGAAGAGAGAGGGGGAGGGGGTAGACACATAACTGACCTTTTGTGGAACAAACAAAATTGATATAATTAAGCATGTTTACAAAGAGGGCCAGAGGGAAGCTTGTCCGCAGCTCCAGCACTATTGCTGCGTACGTGCCTTGAAGCATGTGTATAGAATGTTACGAAGATATGTGTAATAATATGACGAAGATCTGTCTATGGGAGATGACCTAGACCTAGAAAGAACTTCCATTACAAGAACAAGTCTAACTGACATTTCTTGCACTCAAACTTTCTTAGCTAATAGGTTAGAACTCCTACTAAGATAATATTTAAGATTAATGCTAGACTTTTATTTAGTGGTAGCTCTTACCAGTATTGTTGTGATGTAATCAAATGGTTTTGCATATTTGCAGTCATTAATTTTGTCAATGAATATTTTGCATGAATTTCACAGACACATTTCTCGCACACTGAAATAAAAACAAGCAAAATTCTCGAAACATTTCCCTAAGCAGGCAGAAGCTTAATTTCAACATTAATACGTATTTTGTTTAGAGGCAAAACTTGTGCATAAATAAAAAAAAAAAAAATATGGCCATCAATCATACGCACTGTCAGCTCGCTGAGATGACGACAGATGAGCTGTAAAAACGACAAAAAGAAGAAAAAGCTCAAATATTGTTGGACGACAAATTCTGCTGACACTCTGTTGACTTTTAATGACTCAATTTTGCTGTCGTTGTTGTATTTGCCGGCAATATTGATTACGACATTAATTAGCTTGTCAAATGTGCACGAAACGAGCGAATAACCAATTAATAAGCAACCGCAGCCTCACAATCACACAGAGCTCTTATCAATAGCCAACTGCAGCTGCGGCTGCTCAGCGCAAACGTGGCACGTGCTCCATGCAGGCATTGATATCAGCAGCAGCAGCAGCAGCAATCAGCATCAACTGCCAACTGGGCGGTGTTTGCTTTTTGGTTTGTTGCGGCTTTTCCAACATAGGAATAATGGATCAAAACTTGAACGAGAAAGAAGAAAGGCTATCTTCTACGCGCAGAAAATTTGATACATTTGCCTTTTCATAATGCTTATAATGCTTTGCACGCATCTATGAAATACAGCATAAATACTTAATGCCGAGTATGGTTAGGATAGCTCGATAAACAAAAATGTTTTTCATACAAGAACCTACTATATGATATAGTAGTCCGATATTGATAGGATTTCGCATATATATAGAGAGTATAGTAAAACTGATTAATGCTGAGTTTGGTTGAGCTATCTTGATAATCAAAAAAACTTTTCCATGCAATAACTTAATTTTCAACAAATCGTTCCTATGGCAGCTATATGATATAGTAGTCCGATGCAGCCGGTTCCGACATAAGTACTGCGTGCAACAGAAAGAGGGACTTCTGCAAAGTTTCATTAAAATAGCTTTAAAACTGAGAGACTAGTTCGCATAGAAACAGACAGACGGACACGGCTCTATCGACTCGGCTGTTGATGCTGATCAAGAATATATATACTTTATGGGGTCGGAGATGCTTGCTTCTGCCTGTTACATACATTTGCATTTTGCACAAATACCATTTTCAATGGGTTCAGGGTATAAAAATAAAAAAAACAAGGACTAATGTAAAGTTTCAAGACGATATCTTTGAAAGTGATGGACTAGACAGAAGGACATGGCTATATCAACTCGTCTGTTGATACTGATCAAGATTAAGTATACTTTATGGGGTCGAAAACGTCTCGTTCTATGTAAGAGTATAAAAATAAAGAATTAATAAATACATTTTTGTCCCATCAACTTTGGCCTAGTCAAGTATATATATATATATGTATATGTCTATATGCAGATTGAGTCATGTAAATTCGCTTTTGTATGAAAAACATTTAAATATATCTTAAGCATAGGGTATTTACTCGTCTCTAGTTTTTGTTTTCTTTGATAACTGAATCCAGTTTTTAATTCACGTTTCATTTTTCATTTAATTTGCTTTGTTTTCGTTTTGCTATAATTAGAAATTTTCTTAATGCCGCATTGTTATCTCGCTTTGTTGTTAGAGCCGCATTGTTGGTACCCGTTTGTTTGTATTTGCCAGATTACAAGCAGGTGGAAAGGGCTAATTGGACGTGTTCGTTAGCTAGCTGAAGAGCTCGGAAACCTGCAACAGCCAAAATTTGAATCAATCTGAATTGGTCTGTTTAAGAGCCCGTCTATATATCTGCTTTATGTTTAATCTGAAAACCTAATCTCAACTACGATTATTCGGTTTTATTAATGGTATTTTCCGCATGTGCAATTTATTCCTTTCACATTTGCACAAAAATTCACAAGGTCAAACGTTTTTTTTTTTTTTTGTTTCGATTTTCTTTTCAAGTTTATCATAAATCAACTTGCACTTGAAATAATCTCCTGCCAACAAAAACAACAACAACAACAACAAATTTGGGTTAAGGCTAAAGTTTCAGCTTTGCGGCAATTTTGTTTTCTTTCGTTGTTTTTTTTTTTTTTTTGTTTTTGTTTACAAAGAAAGCAAATACGCTACCGTTATCTTCTTTTTTTTTGGCAATGGCAAGTTATTTAGGCCTTTGTAAATATTTTCAAATGTCTTCTTAGTCATACAAAAAAAAAAAAGTGTGCAAAAGAAAAATGATTTTTTAATGCATAATAATTAATTGCATTTGTTTTTTTACTAAATATTTTTGTTAGGAGTCGTATTCTAAATAAATTGTGATCAGTAATTTGAATAAAAAATTTGTATTCGCGGCGCCGGTAAAAAAAAACATCAAAACGAACCGGTTTGATAAAAGAACAACATATTTTTTTATACTTTTTTTGTGTTTGGAAATCAAATTTACATGAAATCTAGTTTGGCTTTTGTGTAAGGCATTTAGCAGCCGGCCTTTAATATTCACATTTGGGAGGGGTGCGAACTTGTCAACTCGCCTGATTAGCGCCTAGTTGAAGTGTAGAATCTCGAATGTTGCCGGGCAGCAATTTTGGGCAACAATTTTCGGCCAGCTCGACACACAGACGAGCCCCTTAATAGCAGCAGATACAACAACAACAACAAGAGCAACAACATTGGCAAATGATATAATAACAATTATTATGAATTGTGGATCAACAAAAACGAAGTTATTAATTGAACAACCTGTGCCACGTGAATTAAGATAAGCAATGCTTATCAGCGCTTGCTAATAAAAATATTAGCGTGTTATCTGCATAATTATTGTAATTCACAAAATCATTTTTGTGTAAAATGTTAAAAACGAGCTAAATTCCGTTTTTGAAGGATTCCGAAAGATTGACATAATACGATTTAATTATTTCAGATATGAAAAGCTCACGCTTTATGCAATTAATATTTGAACAATTTGTTTTGCAAATAAAATATAAATTATTATTGTCTCCGCACACCCACATACACACACACACGCACACATACGCACACAATATCCAGTTTGATTGTTTGCACTTTGAATTTGCATAAAATAACAATTTCTCGACTTTTTTTTCTCGAATTATCGTTGTTTTTTTTTTGTTTTTGTTGATGGATTAACTTTTTGTTTCGCTTTTGGCGCACAAATGTCGCTACCCGTGTTCCGTCACCGACTGAATGTCGAGAAATGCTCCCGGTTTTGCGGGGGTCGCTCGTTATTGTTGATGAGATTGGATGCGTTATCATAAGTGCTGGATACACCCTCATATTTACATACACAAATGTACATTCGTATAGTATCTATACAATTGTATTGCTGGACCTTGGTGCCTGGCATTTATATATATACTATATCGGCAGTAAAATGCCTTTTGAACTCAATCATAGAGTGGACTACGAACCAGCCAGACACCCAATACTCGGTGGAGACAATTTGCAGTTGATATGCTGCAGAGCTCTTTTGTTGAGGTAAGTTTGTTCTATTTTTAGGGAAATTATAAAACCTTAATTTAAATTAATTGCTCAGCCGCAAAATTAATTTGTGCATATTTAAAAAATTCAGCAAGCAGCAGCAACCAGGCAATTAATTGCGCAAACAATTTGAATCAACATTGATTGATGATAAAGAATAATGATAAGAATAATATCTAGAGAGCTGACAACAGACAGAACTCGTTGAGCTGGATATCAAGGGTAAGTACATATACAAGATATACTAGATAAAAAACTAAGCTTGAATTTATTTAAAAAAAAAACATTGTAACTGTGCTGAGGGCATGTCCAAATTGTTTATAATGTCTAACCATAAAGAGATGGACGTCAAGAAAACGAGTCGTGCGCCCCCAATTTGGGGCTCAGTTTCGAAATGCGAAGCCGAGTCGAGTATTTATTATGGAAAACACGCCCGGGTCCAAAAATTATTTGATTAGAAAAATATATAAGAATACTTAAGGCTATCGCAAATTGTAACGCTAAAAAAAGAGTATACCCCAGTCAGTATTATCTATAGCCAAATGCCTCTCACGATTGTGATAAGAACGGCTGTGCAAAAAATGTGTTGATTGCAATAACTAAAATTCGAGCTTCTGCCTTCATATATAAATATACAAAAATATAGATGTAAGTGCACGTAAAATAATGTAAAATAACATATATAGATACATAAATATATATATGTAAGTAAACATAAGCATCAGTTAACTATCGTATTTTGCACTTGTTATTGAGACATTTTCAAGTACACGCTGACAGCTACAAAAACTATGCACATCGTATTGATATGGCAGCTAAAGTGCTTCCTAAACGAGAAATGAGTCATCTTCGTCAGGTTCAAGTGGGCTGAGTCAGTACTTCAAATATGGAGGAGCAAGACATGCACTTGAGGCCACCAATGTCCACCAAAAACGTACTTTAAATATAGAGGAGGAGGAAGGACAATGTCCACCATTTACAAATGATTGCAACAAATATGCTTTAACAATATTAAAATAGAAAAAGAAAAAAAAAACAGAAGCCACTCGCAATCCATATTTGCGATGCAGCTGCATTTGCAATCCTTCACATGAGCAAACATCACCTTGTTGTACAGTGTACTCAAGTGTTTGGCTATTTACTTCATTCCTGCGTATATCTGAAAAGCCCGCCAAGTAGCCGATTGTTCGTTATGTATTTACGCGTGTTAAATATTTGCAAAAATAGTTGTAGTATTTAACTAACTACTGCATGGACATTAAGCAAGTGGAGTGGGCCTAAACGTCGCCGTGTTAAGCCATTCATATTAAGAACGCGACTGTGGCTACGACTACGACTATTAATACGAATGTGAATACGAATGTAAATACGAATATGAATACTGGCATGTGAGCTGTTGTTAAGAGCGCATGACAGCAGAGCGCCAAAGGCTGTAGTAGAGAGCCAGACCCGTCAAACTGTGCAAATATTTGGGCACGTGAGATTACGCTCTGGAGGCTGTTTGACAGTGTGACAAAGTTTAATTAAGAATTTCGATCGGGGCAGAGCGGGGCGGACATGTGGAAATTGTACTTGTAAATTGTCTATGAAGTGTTATGGGAAGCATCAAGAGGCATAGAAATAATAGAACTAGTTGGATATGCGTTAGATCTTGAATTCAAAAAAAAGTATGTAACAGTAAGAAGAAAGCATCTCTGACCCCATAAAGTATATAGCCATGACCGTCTGCCTGTCTGTCCGTCCGTTCATACGCAAGAATCTCAGAACCTATAAGACTTGAAATTTGGAACATAAGTTCTTTCATAAGAGCTAGAGTCACCAAACTTAACATGTAGCTTATAGAATATTATATATATATATCAAGTATTTGATTGTATAGCTATGGCCACCTCCCCGCTATAAATCAAGTTAATAAACCAACTTTTATTGCCAACCAATTTAGGCCACAATTTTAGTGCAATTGACTTTTTGAGAATATACAAATATTCTATAGTATTTAGGGAAACATTTTGTTTTTTGTCAATTTTTTTTTATTACTGATAAGGCAAACAAGCTAGTAAGCAGGTTCAGGGTATCTTCTTGTCGGGTAGTCCTGACTAGAGCCTCTTACTTGTTAATCTTAAAGCTTTTAACAAGCAGCACATCTCCCTGCTAAAGCTCTTACTTGTTTCTTTGAATATTCATTAAACTCCTGAGTTTACAATCGCGTGCCATAAAGCGTGCTGCCTTATTGTAAATATGAACTACGCTAAAAGTCGGTCAGCTATTATATTGATATTGCGGGTTGTTTACATTTCATTTGGCAATTGGTTAGCTTTATTAATACTTTTTACAAGTTCAATTGACATTGAATTGTAAGTTGCGCAGTTGATTGCCCCTGGTTCTACCGTCTCCCCAGACGTATATAGAGGGGGTAGCCAGGTAAAGACAAATGAGTGAAACAACAAATACATAACATGCACACGATTGATTAATATATATGTATGTACATATGCATACAAATAAGCGATCTAGGCAGCGAACTGTCTTCGATGGCTGATTTGCATTGCAAAATTAGAAATTGCCTTTCATTGGAGTGTGGGTTCGACGGTCAGGTTATCAACAAGAATTTCAATCGCAATCGGCTTTGCTTTCATTTGATCGATTGCTCAATTAGTACAAAGAAAAGCCAAGCTTATTTCCAGGTTCGAGAAAATTGATGCCGATTCCCATTGGGGCTTATGCTGAAGCCAATGAATAAAATAACAATAAAAAATAATCAACGGTTGTGCAGTAATTAAAATGCGAACAAAAAATGCACAATCGCCCAATCGCAATAACGAGCTGAACAATAACAAGAATAAAGGCTAGCTGTCGCCGAAGTCTGAATACCCTCATGACCTTAAAGTGCGATGTTGCCAGGTACTTGTTGATACTAAAGGGTTTCAACGGATAATTCTATAAGATATATTCCGGCATATGCAATGCATGCATTTTTATACCCTGAACCCATTAAAAATGGGTACAAGGGTATATTGTATTTGTGCGAAAGCCAAATGTATGTAACAGGCAGAAGGAAGCATCTCCGACCCCATAAAGTATATATTATAGTATAGTATAGTATATTCTTGATCAGCATAAATAGCCGAGTCGATCTAGCCATGTCCGTCTGTCTGTCTGTCCGTCCGCCCGTCCGTATATATGAACGCAAGGATCTCAGAACCTATAAGAGCTAGAGACTTGAAATTTTAGATGTAGGTGCTCCTAGCTCCCGCGCAGATCGAGTTTATTTCCGATAATCGATAACTTCCTCCGTTTCCAAGCAATCGATAAAAATCTATATCGATATCCTGTTTTTTGGGCAATTTTGGTAAATAATAAGAGCTAGAGTCACCAAACTTGACATATAGCTTCTAAAATAGAATATATATATATGCATTTGATGTTGGAAGAAGAGGGTTCAGGGTATCCCCTAGTCGGGAGCTCCCGACTAGAACCTCTTACTTGCTTATAATTATTGTCAAGAATTTATATACTGTATTGGTTCTCAAATGTCTCATGCTAGCCGTGATACCTTACCCTGTCAAGGCATAAAAAGTATGACAAGTAAAATGAATCGAAAATATTTCAAGAAAATGAAATGTGCATAAAAATAAATGCATTCAAAATAAACAAACAAAAATTGATTTCAAGGAAGTGCAAAATATACAAAATAAGAACGAAATGTAAAAGATTTAAAAATATTTGTATAAGATAACATGCAACAGTCGAGTTTTTTAATGAGCCGGACAGGGCCCATGGTACTTAAAAGAATGCGTCTCTAATGGCTTTGCCTGTGATGCTTTTTAAAATAAATAATTATCATAATGAGCTCTAGTAGATAAAAGCCGGACCACTTTGAGGCAATGCTCGGCATGGGTCAGGTTGGGGTTATCAGAGGTCATAGCTGTGGCTAGGTCATTCTCATCTCTTTGATCCAATGAGAAGCCTGAACGATATTAATTATTGTCGCAAATGTGATCATTTACCCTGCGGCTTACAAAGCAAAAGTCAAGGCCTGAACGCTCGAAAATTCGCACAAAAAATGACGCAACAAAATCAACAATAAACCATTCAGCAGAGTGGACTCCCACACACGCCCATAAACACATATTTGAATTGAATATTGATCTTCGATCTTCCCTGGGCCACAGAGTCCGAGTCCGCATTCAGCGAAAGGCGGAAATGTTTTGAACTAAAGGAGCGTGGTATTAAGCACAGGGTTTACGCTTAGATTAGTTACTTTTTGCACGGGGGAAGGGGAGTCTAACTGAGCAATGCATTTTAGTCACTGGCAAGGCGTTTGTTAAACATAAATTGGTTAGAGAGCAATCGGATGATGCACAAACTGGATTTTGATTTAGTTATAGTATAGCGAACCTGTTCTTGAAGTTATCGGGCACAAATATATTCCACCAGGAGTGTCGCTTCTCGCGCGGAAAGTACTCAACATGATTGGGATCGACAATGTCGTCCTCATCATCGTCATCGTTCGCATAGCTGGCCATATCGCTGGCATTATTGGCTCCATTGGCCCCCATACTGTCATTGGTCAGATCGCTTTGCGACTCGCTGTTGGTCATATTGGAGTCCAGGCTCCGTTGATTGATAAACTCCATCTTCTTGCGTCTGTGTCGATCTAATTTTGTCTGCAGCGAGCTGCGACGTCGGCGTTGCCGATCGTTGGGCGTATCATAGGGATTCATGCCCTGAACGACGGCACGCGACTGTGTTCCATCCTCAAAATAGGTCAGTTTGCCGGGCTCATTGGGTGAGCTAGCGCGTATATTCTCCTCCGAGCTATACACTATCTCGGGACTGTTGGTGGGCGTGGCAGAGCCATCTGACTTCTCGCTGCGCACAGCCGATTCATACGAGTCTTTGGTAGAGTTCTGCAAACAGGGCACAATGAAATAGTCGAATTAAGATTAAGATTAGATCTTGATTGTTGAAATCCAGTTAAGGATCTGCTTACCTTATTGCTATCACGGCGCAGAAACGAGACGGCAATGGAGCTGCGTCGCTTCTGGCTCTTGTCTGACTTGCTGGAGAAGAGACCCAACGCCAGCGAGCTGCGACGTGGCGGCTTCTGTGGCGGCAGCGGCGCTGTTATATTCATGCTATGCTCGGGCTCGCCATCGCCATCCACATGCTCATCGATGTTGACCAATGACGGTATAGAGGCACTGGCCCAGTCCTTGCGCAGACGATACTTGCCGCTATCGATGACGCTCATCTTGTTAACCAATTCTTCACTCGCCTCAACTCAATTAACCGTTAAGCACTGCAAATATTACGTATATTAATCAACTATTCGGCCAAAAACATTTAATGCCAACGAGGCGTGGCAGCTGGCTAAACTACATTCTATGTCTCAATCCATGTCTCTCTCTCTCTTTCTCTCTGGTTAGTCAAACTTTTACTTTCAATGAACTCCATTGAACCGAGCGTAATTAGCAGGCCATTGTCGGTCGACGACGACAACGATGATATCGCAGCTCTAATATATGTCCGAGCTAGTATCTAAGTGCATGCAACGTAGAGCAATTATCAGGTAGGTGGGCGGGGGCACAGTGGAAAGGTAGCCAGGGGCTCGCATGTTGTGAATAGGGCGCGTTTGTTACGAGAATGAGTTGCAATAGTCAGACGATCACACTCTAGCTACAACGACTAGTTTGATCACCTGCAACAGGTGAAGATCTCCCTCTCTTCGCACTCATTTAGCTGTTGATTTAATCCATAGATTATTTCAGCATTATAAAATTATATAAATAAATGTCATATTTAAAATATTTTTTTTCATGTTACAACTTTGGCGAAATCCCACAATTGAGATACAAGTTCGTTAATATAATTATATATTAATATACACCTAGATCTGTTCGAATTTAGCAAATGCCAAAAAGTGATTAGCATCAAAATGGGTTGGGCTGCCATTAACGTTTCACAAAGCTTTAAAGTCACTTAAAAAATGTTTAAAACTTAATTCCTCTTTAGAATCGCCAAGTTGTTTATGTGATCGTAAATATTAATAGTAATAGTAGTAATAGTAATATTAGGAAAGCAAAATATCAACCAAAAAAAAAAAACTATTCAGCTAAACACATATGCCCAGATCTGTTGAGTGTGCTAAATGGAAAAACAACTGCTAATAATGCAAATTATCTGAAAACTTCATGACATCATGAACAATGGCCCAACCTACGACAACAACATGACATCTACCAGCTATCATAAAGCAGAGAAAACAAAAAAGTACACCTAATATATATGTACTTCAATGAATCTCGGCGCGGCGATGACGAAGTCGATTTGGACAAGCTGGCGGGTATTCCAAGCCACGCTGCGAAATCGAAAGTGCTCTGTTACAGGTGAAACAATGGAAGGGTTGAATCCAATTACAGCTAATTCCATTCATCTTAGTACAACTGGGGCCTGTAAACTGTCAGCTGTTATAGTTTAACGCCTGGCTGATTTGTGTGTCTCAGTGTTTATTTGACAGATACACAGTCAGTTCTCGCCGACAATAGATCACGGCAGGGCTATAATTGTTGCTAGCATGGCATTTAATTCCGAAGTGCTGGGCGAGCTGAGCTTAATAGAGTTTATATCGAAAGCATATAAATAGGTCGATTATAACTGGGCTTGAGTTTTTGATAATGATACTTAAACGCTGATAAGATAGAATTTAGATTGCAGCCCCTAAAGTGGGAGAGTTACGAAATTATCTAAGCAGTGCAAATTTTCGAGTGCTGCGAATTTTTTTCAATTGGCTTTAAACAAGTCAAGTGAGCTCTTCGACCGAGTCTTATCTGAGCAACAGATTCCAAAACATCAACGCTCTATAGGAAACGAGCAATTTGAATAAGGCCCGCGTATAATACTTATGAATATATATAGATATATATTTATATACACACACATATAACCTTGTATACGTTCAGTGCGCAGCTGAAACTGACCACAACCGGTCAGTCTCAAGGCGTCGTCGTTTACATTGCCGACCGAGAGCGAAGTGAAGTGAAGTGAAGTGAACTAAGCTGAACTGAAGTTCACGCTTGAAAAACCGGGGGAGCTCTACGAGCTGCGTCTCATATCTGTCTATTGGCTGCCATTGGGCCTGGGTCTCGGTCTGGGTCTGGGTCTAGGGCGTTTTTGTCAAATTGCATCCGGCCATGAAGGTGAGACATTCGCTTCGCGATGGGTCTCTTATATATTTTTTGGAGAGCTAACGCATTATAAATCCATGCTGTTCATCAATTGTGCAATGCGCATAAATGAATAGAAATCCGATTCGATAAACGAAATCTTACTGTGTCAATGTCACGGCCAGCCAACCGAAAAACTTGTTGTCTATTGTCAACAAGCTCGTACACTCTCGCGTACTCGAACCTACATTCATTTTCCCCACCCTCGCCCTCCCACACACTCGTGTTGCATGTGCCTATAATCTGTGACAAAATTTTCCACAGCAAGGAAAAACAAGCGTGCAAGTGGAAAACTACAGCACGTGATAAGAGTCTTCCACTGATAACGTTAACTAACTTCTCTATATAGAAACATACATATTTGGACAATGCACATGATCGAGAACGATGCTCTTTAACATTATTAATTTGCATGTCTGCTTTTCACACTCAACTGGCAATGCAACAAACAAGTGCCTATAAAAAGCCCAGTCCCAGTTCCAAGATTGAAGACGCCTTGTGTCTACAGATAAATGATGCCTGCCAGAGATCAGAGCCAGAGTCTGGCCACGTTGCAAGGCTGATAAACTTGAGGGCTAGCAAAATTTTCCATGAAAACCGATTCTATTTACATATATATATATATATATATATATATATATATATATTTTTAATACTAGAAGAAATTGCCCAGCGTTGTCGTGCCATGTTTGCAAAGCACAATTGCTGATGTTTTTTATACAAACTATGACCCAGCTCGGAGGGCGAAGCTTTAACTTAAGATTTGGCCAGTTCTTGATCAAACAAGAACATACGCCATTATTATGTATAGCTTACTTTTATGCTGAACAGATAATTTGATTAACAATCGCCAAACAAGTTTAGATCAATAAAATTCGTCATCGCTAGTGCAAAATCAAATTCATGGAGTCGTTGCTTCGAGTTACACAAATGTATATTGCAGTTGTGAGGCAGCCTGTATAAACAACGATAAGAACAACAAAGTCAGAAACTTGAGAACTTTATGTGGTTTCGTGTTGGTTATATTAACAATTCGACTATACAGCTGAAAAATCCCTTGGGTTTTGGCCACATGCATCGTAACTACGAGCTAAATTTATATTTTCCATAGCCACCAATTGATAAGCGTACTTTTAGCTCTGCGGGATATGTACGCGACATAGATTGTTGACACAAACACAAAACAGGGGCATTGCAATTGCACTTTCGCTTTTGTAAAACACATATATGCAGCAAATGTATCTCAAAGATACACAGCGCAGACGCTTCGCTAGCGCTTGGGATGTCAAGATGTCAAAAATATCGCAAAAGAAATAAATTGCAATTAAGCGTTTCTGATCGACTAGCAATGCCCTGTAAATACGTTTGCCTTATATCGACTCGTTTATCTATAGACAAATTTTTAGTATACATTTTCATATATCATACAAATACATGCCACATTGTTTTTTTGTTCTTTTTTCGTAAAGCATATTACCACACATCATAAGAAATGCGCTCACACATAGGCTAAAAGATACAAATGTATCTGGGGATAGTGTAAAAATCGCGTGCCTAAAATAAAACATATATGTACATACGTATGTTGTGTCTGCGATCTTTTTTTGTTTTCATTTTTATTTGAAGCTTTTAAAGTAGTAGCAGGAGAAACAAACAAATGCGACATAGTCAAAGAGAAGATCTATTTAAATGGTTCCTCGAACAGCTCGAGAACTATAGCTATACCTGGCCTTTGGTTACCTGATACCAGCATATATAAGCATGAGGGTTTTTCTTGGGATTATATAAACTTCATATTGTTGGCGGAGTCATGCACATACATATGTACCTTTACGAATATGCACTTGTGTCTGTTTGTCTCGTAAATCTCTCTTCAAATATTTTTATATTTTTGTATCTACGTAAACAACTGGTAATATTTGCCTGGCTGGCGAAAACCGGTTGCACAAACAATTTGCTAATAAGCAACTTCAGTTCATAAATTTGTCATATGAAATACAAGCCGCCAAATATTCACACACAAACAATTGCATGCATTCTGAAGGTATTTCCAAATTGCATTCTTCATTCTATAGTCGCGTATAGGGTCGCACAATGGGTTCAAGTTAAGAACAAAAATGACATAACTGCCACAGTTAAAATTAACAAAGCTATTTGCGCTTAAATAACTTGTCGCTTAAGTCATTGAACTGTAGGCGAACGAGCGTGCCTGTGTGCGTGCAGAAATGCACAAGATACAAATGTATCTACACGTGCTAGCTAATTCAATGCAATTTTCGCGGCATACCTTTCAAATAAGAATTAACGCGAGAATAAAGTTGTAATTTACTTATTTTTTCTTATACTTCCAAACATGGTAGTTGAGTTTTTAGAAATTTTAAAGCCTGTCCACTCGATTAAAAGCTAAATAGTTAAAAAGTTTCCCACATGTCACTTTAAATAATCTACAAGAATTTAAGCACGCTAGTTCTGGGTTGGGTTAGTAGCGTTGTTAATTAATCAAATCTAGGGTGAGGCCCGGTAGTAAGCACAACCCGTTAGCTATTTATGGTCTTTATAGTAACCAACCGTATATCACGGGCACAATTACAGTTCAAGGTGTACTGATTTAATGCAACTTTCTAGACTTGGAAATTGCAAAGTTAAACATCTCCGAGAACTAATAAAGGAATTTTGTAAAGTTGAGCTTAAGACTGGGTTTTGTCTGATTGTAGTATCATAATTAATAACTACTTTTAATGTGAGCATCAAGTTACATGGATTAAAATCCAATTGTTATTAAAGGCATGAACATTTATTTACACTTCCGTTATTATTTATACAATATTGAGTTGGGTGTAAATGTTATTAATATGCGAGCAGACACAAAACTGTGTAACAAATCCGCATTAGAACTAAATTTAAGCTCATGACAGTCAGAAACTAATGACGTGTGTGAACAGGAAGGCGGGGGAGGGGGGGACAAGCTCTAGGAGAGAGAGGGGGGTGCATTCTGGCTTATATTTTGTTGTGGTGATAAAGTGACATAATCCGTAACCGTGACACTTGATCCGATTTCGAGCGTGAACCTGCGCAGGCCGCAAGAATGTGGGCTTGCTCAGTATTTGTATCTGTATCGGTAAATGTATCTGTAGCATAGTTCGCATCTATCTTCTGTTGTCAATAATAATTTTTTGTTACTTGCAATCGTTCCTATTTTGTAAGTGTTAAAAATACAAAAAATTCAATGCGGAAGTGATCGACTTTAGTTTGCAAAAACAAAAAAAAAAAAACCGGTTCGGCGTTTTGCTACTTTCATAACTATGTATCTATGCATTTGTATCTGTATCTGTGTGCTTAATCAAACTCAATCAATCGTCAAGTTTGTGTTCCGCAAAACAATCAACAATTTTGCTTACAAGTTGACAACAACAACAACAAACCGAAAGACGGAACCAAACGAGCAAATTCAATGGTTGGCGACCCCTCCTAGAACGGTTAGCACTTATCTTGCCCACGAATGATTTAATATGCAAATCGGAAACGCTTCCTCTAACAGATAATGCTAGATATTCAGCAAAAGTCGGGATGAGATTTGTTTCATTCGATCTGTTTGCTAAGCAAAAACTGTAGCCAGTTCCTGCTGAATTGTAAATTCATTTTGCAAAACAAGTCCACTTAATATAGAATTTAAATAGAAGCTTAATTTGGTATTTACATCAAGAGGTTAAGAGTGACAAAATATGAATTTCTACATTAGATGTTGAATCGTAATGCGCAGTTCGATTAATGCACATTTTCCTCAGCGAAAAAAAAAGAAATATATATATATATACATTTATATATAATTATATATTTGGAAAGAAATATATATATTTAGAAATGGGAACAGTCTACACTACTTGTTTACATTCTATGACAAATGTGCAGTGAATAAATATTAAGGAAAATATCTCAATCGGTTTTCTAACAACAACAAAAATTGGAAGTGGAGGGCTTTCACTTTACAAATAGATGGGGAACCAAAGGTATCAGGATATCTGTTTTTCAGGTCTATAATAGAAGTGGGCTTATTTAGTCATCGACAATGTCAATAAATCAGACACACACACACACACACACACATACACACAGGCACACACACACACACAGGCACACACACCAATTAACAACAACGAGCCGCGTTTTAAAGTGCTCTTTGTGCAGATACAAAAGCCGTCAGATACTTGGGACTTGAAGAGCATATGAAGTGCCTTTGTGAGCGGCGATTGATTTTTGGCATATGTATGAGCTCGTGTATTTATTTGTGTAATTATGACATTTTTTCACGCCGCGTTAAACAAACAAACAGCACACAAAATGACAATAAGCCTCTTTGTTTGAGACAAGCACACAGAATTAAAAAACTCATAAATAAAATAAATAAAATTAATATATAAAAGATATCATACTATAAAGTGAACAGTGTGCGTGGAGTGCGGTCTCTGTCCTGCGACAAGCCTTTTTCGCTACGTCTGTAATTAAATTTATATTTATATATATTGTAAACTTTTGGTCTGCTTAACAGACAAAAGTTGCAGCTACTTACAACAAAAACAGACAAGAAAAAAAACCAGGCGATAACGATGCGATTCCATTTCACACTGGGAGTTGGTTGCTTCCTCATGTGAACACGATTTACATGAAGCATGTAAAGCTGCCCCACGCAGCGCTTGTCACTCAAAATCAATAAAAAGATACAAAAGTATCTACGCGATGCCACGCATCTTTTATTTTTGCATTTCCGCGTTGGATTTCGTAATTATTAACGCATTTAATTTAAATTTACAGTAATTGATTTGCATAGCCGGCCACGCCCACAACGATATGCGTCAATTTATTTTAAAATATTGTGCAACGCCATATTTCCGCCTGACTTGTCTGGCCTGGCCCGTAGTTGGCATTTAATTTATCTAGCCAAAATAAATTTTTTTTTATCTGTAGGATTGGTAGACTTTGGAGTCCAGGCGATAAAAATATTCACAATCAGCGAATGGAAATTGTGTCAAAGTTTTCGATTGAATGCAAAATATAAACAAAAAAGCAACTTTATGGTGATTAAACAAATTTATGAAAAACAAATGTCTTATCAGTTGAATAAATTCAAAGCTAGATATTCGAGTTACCATTTAAATTAGTATAGTTATATTAAAATTCCATTTATTATAATATGTAAATAATTTATTTTCTTAATAGGCCCATAAGCCGTCTTCAGAGTTTGATCGATTGGGTGCACAACAATTTTTGTATAATATTCATTCCATCTCCGGGTCTTTGCACAGATATTAACCTAACGGCGCTTACAATTTTAAGATTGCGATCTCTTTCACTCTATATCTGTCTGTTAGTGCTAAAAGACCAATGTGAAGAGTCGCAAAGAAAATAACAGAGACAGAGCATCTGTCGCCAGACAGTCTACAAAATCGGAAACGTAAGCAGGTTATGCCGAACTGGCATAAATTGTAGGAAGACAACGAATAACCGTTAGAAATAAAATTGCAATTTTTGGTTAGCCCACTGAGGCATAACAGATTCTTTACCCACTCTCATTCCGCAACTTTATGAAAATATGCAAGTGCCACTGTCTAAAGCAACTTTAATGTGCGTGTGTATGTTAGTTCATTACTTTGAAATACCGTTGCCATTTGTTTCTCTACGAAAATGGCAGCGCAGGGCTTTGGACAAAGTGGAAATGAAGCCCTGAGCATCGAGAGAAGACAGTGAAGCTTGCGTGCTGAAATTGTTGTTGTTGTTGCTTGGGTTGTTTTGTTTTATTGTGCTGATGACCTTAAATTAGGCGTAGGTCTTCATTTTTTTTTGCCGCATACGGCGCGTTCGGGTTTTTAACCGACGTTTTCTGTTTTTTGCGTTTTAGTCAGCTGTTTTGTGCTGCGCTTTGGCCTCAAGTTGTAATAAATAACAAAGAAGACAAAAAACTTACATGCTCATAAGAAATAACAACGAAAACATAAAACCACGCTCCAAATGCCTTGACCCGCAGGCAAGAGCCGAGAATAAGGCAATCATTTTGTTGGTTAGTTTGGATTAGCACAACGCCTAATGTGAATACGTATGAAAGTGAATGTAATGCAGTAGACGTCAAAAATGAGAGGACAATAACAATTCCAGCTATAGAGTTTTACTCCGCATTTGCCTTTGTATATATGTTAGACAGAGAGAGAGAGAGAGAGAGAGAGAGAGAGAAAGAGAGAGAGAGTGGGAGAGAGAGACTCAAAGGGCAATGAACAAATGGAAAACCGTTGAATGGCGCACAAGGAAATCGAATATGAACAGATTTTTAGACAAGCCGCGCCTTACACAGCGAGAAGAGAGCGAAACCGTATGAAAAATAGAGTAAGAGAGAAAGGGAGAGGCACCGTTGAGCCAGCGGCCGCCTATTTGGCGAACGTTTCTTTGCCTATTTCTATGTACAGATTATGCAAAGCATAATTAATTTTGCTATATTTTTTCTTACATCACTTAAGTACTTGTTGCACTGTGCTCACACACACACACACGCACCTGCCTTTTAGCTCGATCGCTTTGCTGGTTCGCCTTGTGTGACGGCTGCCTTGTGAGCTCGGGCTCGCTCTTACTGCGCTGTTTAGATTCCTTGTGGTATGCTTCCTTTGCTTTTTTCTTTTGTTGATTCTTTTTTCAAGTAAATTCGTTTAGTGATTTTAGTCACATTTCTAACTGGTATTCATTTCGCTTTTTGTCCACTCGCGTTAAAACATTAAAAACCGATTATAATATATGCACAAGCACGCACGCGTCTAATATATGTATTTCAAATTTATTTTAGTTTTGTGCTAATGCTTTTCTTTTCTTTTGTTTTCTTTGGCACAACGCGAAAGAGGGGTAAAGTTGAGCACTCTGTAATTTAATTTAATTTTAATTTTAAATTGGTTTTAAATCAATACACACACACACAAACCCATTTTTATAGTTTGAATTTTAATAAATAACTTCTAAAAGATAGTGCTGCTTATTTTCTCGTATCTAATGACACGAAAGACAAGTGCAACTCCAAAATGGTGGCAAACGAAATTTATTTTTCATCAGCGATTATTTTCAATCACACGAAACACTAACCACAAAATGGGCACAGACAATATCAGACAATTGCAATAACAATATTACCGCTGTCGGTACAACAAATTAAAAAGCACACTCTTTTCGGCACACATTCAGACAAGCAGCTAATTTAACAATTTAACAAAACATGGGAATGTGTACTGGGTATTTATTAATTTTTATTTTTTTGTATTGTTTTAAACAATTTACAATATTTGATGCGGTTGCTGCACATTTAAGCCCGTTTTTGCATTTATTTCTGTATTTTATTTAGCACGTAGCCGTTTTACGGTATTGTGATGTGTTTCTTCTTTTTTTTTTCTAAGTTCGCGCGCGCGCGTTTTTCGCTTGGACGGGCTTTGCAAAATAAGAGTTTGCTGACACTTTTCTGTTTCGTTTTGGCGCGCTTCGGAGCGACTTGCTTGTGTTCGTTGCAAATGAAAAACTTAAACTGATCGAAAATTTCTACGGTGAAGCGAACGTGCATGTGTCTCAGAAAGCAGCGACAACACTCAGAAAAACACAAACAACACAAAAAATAACCGAACACCAACGAATACGAATACGATCTTTGGCTGACGCTGGCGATGACGTCGACGTCGCTGCTACCGTTTCTGTCGCTGCCGACGCTCTTGTGTAAATTATGCTATTTATTGTCGCTGCACAGTGGAACGTAAGTATAAATAAAATTATAATAACTGCATACTGGCTTCGTCTATATGTACTGAATATGTGTGTGCCACTGTGTGTAGTCTCTTTGTTTGTCGGCCAGCACTGACTGACTTCGCTGCTATTTTGAGCTTATTCTTCCACTCTCTCGCTCTCTTTTTCTCTCTCGTTGTGTTTGGAGCTCTAGCTCTCTGGGCGCGTCGCCATGTGCTTCAATAAACATAAACTTGTTTTTGTTGGCAGGTTTAAGCGCAGCTTACAGATTGTTTATACATTTTTCAGCTGTTTATTTTTTATTATTCATATTTATTTTACTTATATCAACTAACTGTCGCTCTGCTCTTCTTCTTTAATATTGCTAACAAACAATTTACTCATGTAGTTAAAACATAAATTCAATCTATGCATTGCATCTGATTCGCATAACATATCAACATGATGCTGCAACAAATGTAGCCGAGACATGTTGCTGGCATTCAGCGATATTGCTGACGATTTTTTTACGGGTTTGTAGATGGCTTTTTATTGTTTACTGGAAATCGCCTTCTAATGCACATGTGCACCGAAACTTGTTTAAATCGGGAGTGCGTTGCGAATAGACAAATAATTAATACAATTTGCTGATGTATATATTTATTTACAATGTGTGGTTATTTTTGTTTTTCTATCTTTATTTGGAGGCTACTCGGTGCAACGCGGCGACTTTGTAATTTCATTTAAATTACTCATACGCATTGAGAGCCAGCCAATATGTGTTGCTTACTGTTTTAACTCGGCGCTAAACGAAGCGAAAACATTTCCGGCCTTAACAACCGATATAGGTCATTGTTGGGGTGAAAGTGTGAATGCCACCCCCTTTCAAGGTTTGTGCCCCGCTAAAAAAAAACCTAGAAAATTTCCCCCAAGTTTACTTGAATATGCATAAATCTATACACTTATGATAATACTATACTATGATACTATACTATGATAATACTATACTAGCCTTCACCTTTTGTGCTGCGTGAGAATTTCCTCTAATTTCTACAGTTAAATATCATGACTCGACTCGACTTGCAAATTATGCAATTATAATTATTTCTTTTTCTTCCTCTCGCTCCTCAACTTGTTGAAGGGGCAACTCAAAACGCCAAACGTGCAACATCATCTTGCACCTTGTTGCCGCTTGTCTTGCATTTTCGACTTGTTTTGAGCCTCGAAACCCTCAAAGGTATTACACAATTGATTGAGCCAAATTGCATTGTGACTGTAAAATGTGTAAATACGTTTAAATATGTGAATAATATTCAAAGTACGTTTCTTATATGTATTAATATTAAACAAATAACTGTCGCTTAAGCGGTTCACGGTTCGAACATCGTCTCGCCTTTAGGTTCTTTATTTTAGATATAATTCGGTGCAGATTGTCTGTTCTTAAGAATGCGGATTACGTTGGAGCTGCCCTTCATAGTAAAATAAAATGTAATATTCTAGATTCGAACCGGTTCGGCGTGTGTGGGTGGGCGTGTGTATACACTAACGTGTATGCATGCATGTATGCCTGCACTTATGCATATATGCATGCATGTTTGTTTCCTAATACCAAACGCAGCCATACTTATTAGTCGCTGTGCTGCGAATTTAAATAAAACGATTTACTACCAAGTGCTCTTCTCCTCGATTCTCAAGAGTTCAACTAGGCTGCATGCGTAGCTAGTAGTGTAGTGTTGTTTATTTATTTTAAATTTTTTTGTTTTAAGTATTTTTTGTTGGTGTTTTTTTTGTAAGTAAGTACATATATATGAATGCATGTACGTGTGTACATACATATAAAATCGGGGTACATATACAGGCAGACATGCACACAAACATATACATATGTATGTACGCATATACTTATATATATGTATGTATGCATATACTTATATTTGTAAAAAATGCATACATACATACATGCATGTATACATATGTATGTACGTATGTATGTATGTATGTATGTATGTATGCATGTGTGCATGTGTGCATGTGTGCATGTGTGCATGCATGTAGCTATCCGGACATGTATTCGTACATGTATACATGCATGCATGTTTGCATATATACTAAACACACATGCATACTTATATTTACAAACAGGCGTACATACATATATATACATATATGCAAACTTAAAACTTCGAATCGCATTTCTAAACAGGAAACTTGGATTCAACGAACAAATAATAATTTTTTTTATTTTTTCAAATAATTTTTCATATAGATCTATGAAAATAAATTTTAGCACGAAACATCACCCACCAAATCCTTGACCCCCATCTCCTTTCCTTCAAGGAGGAATGCATTTTCCAAAATCTGCGAGACACCCCTAAAATGAATTTAAACAAAGATCTTTTGAAAATGAGTTTTGAGGCCAATGGTAAAAAGTTTTATTCAAGCATTTTTCTCAATTTTTCCAACCATGCAAGTGGAATTTCTCGAGACCCCGTCTCAACGTGCAGCTGCATCACATAAGGTATGTTATGTGAAAATTTTAGTTTTATTAAGAGAGATAAGCCCTTAAGATACGAGCATATTTACTTCCTTTACGACAGTCCCATAATTGTTGTTGATTTAAATGCTAATTAGCGACGAGTCATAAAAATCTCTAGAATTTGAAAAACCCAAACAAGTCGGCAATCTAATTGGTTTTATTGCTTTGATTGGTCAGAATAAATACAGACTGCAATTAGCTTCTAAATGTTTAAAAATGTATATGTTTAAAATAAATGCGCGGTTCCTTGACATAAGCACACACACACACACACATTACACAAATAAATCTTTAAATATATCTAAAATCTCATACTTGCGGGCTTTTGAGTTTTTTGTGATTTTGTTTATTTGTATTTGTAATATTTGTGTACCAAATGTGCGCATGTGCTCGTTTCTCTCATATTTGCATTTATTTATAAGTATATTTTTTGTTCTCAATTTGCAATTTCTACAACTGCCAACAACTTGTTTACAAATTCAATAAATATAAGCTAAAAAAATGAAGTTAGGCAAATAAGACAACTATAATTCATTGCAGATGTTTAAGAAGGGCACTTGACAGAGTATTCCTCAAAATGAACTCAAAATATATTCATTAAAATGATAGAAAATATTTTCGCCAGGCAGCTGATGAAATTCCCAGATCCAGCTTCAGCTTCAGGTTCAGCCTTTAGTTAAACTGCTTAAAATGCAAAGCTGAAAACTTCATTTTTTTTTACTATTTTGTCCGTCATATAACGGAAGGGGCACACGAATCTTTTCAGCAAAGTTTCGACAACTTTTTTTTTTATTTTTGCTGCAGACTAAAAATAGCAAAGCGACAAAAACAACGACAACTTCGGCGTTGATTGCAAGTTGTTTGGTTTTGCTTTTATGCTGGCAACGAAAACGACGACGTCGACGCTGGTGTGGTCCAATAATGAAAAGAAAAACCGGCTTGACAGGAAAACACAATTTTCGTTTGAATAAGGAAAAAATGCATAACATTTTTGCAGCTCGACAACGCAGTTGACGCCGGCGTCGCAGCCAGCAGCACCGTCTGCCCGTGCAAAACATTTGTATTGTCAAATACCCTAGAATTTGGCCAGCAGGGTAATATGATTGGGCTGCTCATATGCTTATTTGTAGTAAAAGACCTTACCCACATTTTATGCATTTATACACATACATTTATGTCAATTTAACTTTTCAATTTTTAACTTGAAATTATTTCCTAATTTCTAATTTTTTCTAAATTTACTTTTTGATAATTCATTAAATGATTGTTGAATGACTTTGTGGTAGCATAATCCTGGACAAAAAAAAATAGAAAGAGAATAATTTTAAAAACTTTTTCCTCTCCTGCAAACAAAAAAAAGCTTGGTAGTTTTTTCTATTTTTCTAGGGTATTCTAGAGCCTGCCTACAGCAAACAGCTTTCGTTTGGATTGTTTGGATTTTCAGCTGTTTTACTGTTCGGTCTTATCCCTAGGTATTTAGACTGGTTTGGACCCCGTTGTGTACCCTATTTGGTCAGCTGACAAATAGACAGTCGCTGCCCGAAAATATGCGATATATGGGAATTTTCCATTTTCCATTTTCTACTAACCCACTGTAAGGGTGTTGCGTATTTCCTTTTGAATTATGCACATAAATTGCATACGTAAAATGCACACTTAACAAAGATACTTTTAAATTGATTAGCCGTGCGAGTGTCAAATTATTGACACTTGTGGGCCAAAAACAACTATCATCAGATATTGATATATTGGCGAATTTTGAATTCAAATATGTATTTCGCGCCAATCAACAGTAAAAGTGATAAATGATAAATTTGTTATTGATTGATACAGATACTTTTTCTTTAATTAAAAACTGCTTTCTGCTTACATATTTAACAACCTGTGAACTATTTTCTTTGCTAGCACAACTAATAGGAATAATATTGAGGTCAATGTCAGTTAAACAATAATTCTTGCTGTTATTTATATTGAAAAGGCAAGCGCCAACTTTTTATTTATTTAGCTAACATAATATTTTATTTATGTGCCAAGAGCTAGACAGTTGGCAACATCAATTATAAGTCGATTTTCGCCAATCATGCAATCGAATTATTATTATTAATTATAATGGCCCATCATCGTATCACAAGACTTAAAAGATATATGGGCACAGTTGAACCCAAGCCATGTTACAACTCATAGAAAGCCACTCAATTATAATGCCGCCCATTGTTTGTAGAATCAGTTTTTGGCCACATACTTTTA